TTCGCGGGCGCGAAACGAATTTCGCGGGCTGCACTGCAGTGGCTTGGCCCCGGTGACACCTTGCGTTCGATTCGCTCTAATTTTTCGCACACTTATCCGATTCGCACGAAATTTAGACCAAAATTCTTCTATTTGAATTCTCTTTGTCCCGATATGGCTTGGTCGGATTTTCCGGGTTGGACGGATCGGACGGCTCGTCTCCTCGTTCTCGACACATTGGACCTATTCAACACCAAAACAAAAGAGAAAACGCGCAAAAATACGAAAACACTATACAATAACAAAAATACACAAAACACGATAAAATGGACCGGTCGACACTAAAACGAGCCTAAAAACTATAATATAAAGCACACAAAACACACGAAAATAACGACAAAAACACAATAAACAACAACTCTACCATATCTATATTAGTAATTGTATATGTACCTAAAACACTTTATTTAATTATATTAATGCCTAAATCATTTACCATATACGTTCAACCTCTATACCTTTTTTTATGGGATTGATTAGGAGTGAGAAATGAAAATATGCTTATAATAACTCATTTAATTCCTTAATTCGCGCATTTGTATGTATTTAATAGAGAAAGAGATAAAAACATATATTGTAATTCACGCAGCTGTCTAGTGAGTATATGTTGGGTTTACGTTGGTATATACTCAGTATATGTTGTAATAAAAAACATGTCTTCTATCAAAAAATTATGTCTTTTTTTTTTGCTTTTATACATAAAAGTATATATATATATATTATAAACATATTATAACAAGTTACTATTCCCTAAGCACATCAAATTCGACCTCTCGTCTCCTTCAGCCCCAAATTCCCTCAACCCTAGTCGCCCAATTCGAGCATTGTCGTCACCCCCTTAACGGCCGTCTGGAGTCGTCGGTCGACGGCCTCCACCGCTCACTCAAGACGGACCTGCGCTTGTCCCCATTCGTGGTCCCTGCTCCAGATTCGTGGGTTTGTCGATAGGGCGTGTTTGGAGGCGGCTGCGGTGGGTCGAGTCGCAGTGGCCGCGCTTGGTTGTGGCTTGGTCTGTCGAGGTGTCCCGGGCTGAGTTGCTGTCTCCTCGGTCTCTCTCCTCTCCCCGTCATCTGTGGCTCTGTCCTTCTGCACCGGTGAAGCTGCGACTGGGACGGCGAGCTTCCGTCATCGACAACCGGCAGCGTCGTACGGTGGTAAGCTTCTCCCTTTTGCTGCTTTGTCTCGGTTTCTTTTGCTACGACAGGTGGAGGCTTCACGGTGGTCGGCTGAGATCTCCTCGATTCTCTGCGGTGCTGCTGGCTGCTTATGGGGATTGGACGGACTTGACGGCCCTCTTGGCTGGGTCACTTGGACGAGGCCTAGCATTGTAGGCTTTCGGCCCTTTCTTCTTCTATTTCGCCTGCCGGGCCGGTTTGGTTGAGGCTACCCAGGACTACTTGGTAGTAATGTGGCGGAGTCGGTTCGGCTGGGGGTCGGTTGTTCCTACAATTGTGTGGAGTGCGGGCTAAGCCCTTGGTTAGTTGTTGGATTCCCGAGCATTCGCCTTGCTAGGCCTATGCAGTGGTGGGCGGAGGTTTGGTTCTCTGAAGCTGGCTTCGGATTTGGTTTGTTCGGCTGACTTCTGGATTCGACTGTTGTGGGGGACGTAATAGTATTAGTCTGTAGTTAGTTTGTTTAGTTTGTGTTGTGTTGTGAGTGTTTTGTGCCTCTTGTCTTTGAGTTTTTGTGTTTTTGGTCTGGGCCGTTGGCCCTTGTTTACCTGGGTGTTACCTTTATTCTCCTGTTAGGAGCCAACACCTAGGCATTCTCCTGTTGGGAGCCTTTTGTTTTTGTGATTGTGTTTTAGTTGTTTTTTTTTCTCTCGTTGGGAGCCAGTTTCTAGTTGTTTGTGTTTGAGTTTGGTTTTCTTCTGGCGTTGCCAGCGATTCTAGGCGGACTTCGGTCTAGCCTCCCAGTTTGTAATTCCGCACTTTTGTGCGCCTTTTATATAGTACTTCTATCGTTTTGGAAAAAAAAAAAAAAGTTACTATCCCTGTACCAAAAAATCTTCTAATATACTGAACATATATTCCCTATGCACACAACATATACCGAACAATTTACAAAAAGATCTTCTAATATACTGAACATATACTCCCTATACACACCACATATACTGCTTGTCTATATACGCAACATCCAACATATATTGTCGTAACATATAATGTACATATACTGTAGATATACTATACATATACTCCAAAATAAATCAAACGAATAAATTCAAAAAAGCTGTCATGATTTTCTTCTTCTTCACGAACTCGGGTGTTTTGACCTCGCTCAGCCTCTTTGTCTTCTTCTTCGCTAATTTCAGTTTCAAACTTGAACTAATTAACATCTACGACACACGTAGTCATCGCCGAGGATCTCCATCCGCGAGTCACCGAACATGCGAGGCCTGCAACCACCACGAACCACCACCGATGGCCGTTCACTTTTATTCAAAGGGGCGAAAAAAAAAAAAAAAA